TTGGTTGGTTGGTTAGGGCACCACGGGCATGTTCCTGGGACTGCTGGCAGAGGCTACTAGGTTATCTACACTTCAAAAAAAACGAAAGAAAAAAAGAACAAAGAAAAAAAAAAACAGCACCTGATAGTAACCAGCAACCAGAACAACGTATGCTACTCAAGAGGGGTCCAGCAAATGACTAAGGTAGAGGGGTAGATGGCGGCCATACATCTGCTGACCGTAGACTATAACCTCTAGGTCGCAATTTGGACAGCAAACTGAGTGATTAGGGGGGGCATTAGGTGGGTACATCCCAGTTGCCCAGGGGGTGTCATAGTTTAGACACTGCCTGTGATATCTGGGGTGTACGCTAGGGAGTCTAGGTAGTTTAGACACTGCCTGTGATATCTGGGGTGTACACTAGGGAGTCTAGGTAAGTTCGGGGGATCAGGGAAGGAGGGGAGGGGGGGAGAGGGGGGGGGGGAGGGAGGAGGAGGGGAGGGGGAGGGGAAGCACATAACATGGAAAGGTACACCAACAGAACTTTTGTCCTTTGTGCATGTGATGAGTGGTGCAGTGAGGCCCTTAAACCACCAGTACTTAACCCAGCTATAGGCCGCGGAAAAAAATAGAGTAGAAACGTTTCTAGTTGGATGAATTTGGGCGCTCCTGTAGTGGCCCGTACGTTTCCTAAAATCGCATAGCGTTAACGGGCACAACTTTAGGAAGTACTGGTGGTTTAATCCATCTGTGCAAGTGAGATCTTGCTGCAGGGCTCCCCAGGAGGATTGGATGGAATGCCTGAATCTGGATGTGTTTGTGAAGAGGTGCAGAAAATGGCTATTCGTCTGCTTTTTTCTGCATCTCTGCTTAAAACCCATCCAGATTCAAGTGCTTAATCCAATCCACTTTGCTATTCGCAGCTTGCCCCTGTTGGTAAAAGAGGATAAGGCCTTCCCTTTTACCCCTTTCTGAATTTGTTTTCTTTCTTTCGATTCACGGTGGAAAAAATAAAGAGAAATATTAAACAAAAAAGAAACCTTGGATCTGATTCAAAAAAAAAGAAAAAAAGAAAAAAAGAGGAACGGTATGTGTGGGGCGCCGCGGATGGGTGGCTGTGTGACGCGCAACCTCACGCCCTGTGCTGTCTTCCGTTCGGAGTGCTAGTAGTGCGGAAAAGGGGCCTAGAAAAACAGCAAAATGGGGTGTGCCAAGGATTTTTGGAAATTGAGTGTGGGGACACAAACGGAACTGAAATCCCCCGTGTTGGTCCGATGAAGTAAGTCGACCGTTTTTCGCACGTCGCAAAATGCGCGCGAGGGTTCAGCCTGAAAGGGGAGAGAGATACAAATTCAATCCAAAAAGAATTGTCGGACTTCCCACCGTGCTACGGCCCTTCGTTTAGAGCGAAAAAGTTTCGGCACGCTTCGCGTGTCTCGTCTTCGTATTAAGTCCCGACATCGTTCACCAATCAGTTCTAAGTCCGACGTGGAGGGCCTCAGTCGTGTGGCTCTTTCCCTGTGATCGTCTTCACTCCGTACGCGGTAGTGGAAACCCTTGGATTCGTAGCGCTCAAAGCGCTGGCACTCGGTGCATAGAATGCGAGGCCAGTGGGGTTCTACTGCCGTCCACAGGATGACAATCAACTCGTTAAATGGCAACAGTATTGAGTAATTTGGAAAGTGTGTATCGATAATGACAAACCCAGCCTCTACGAACCCTGAACAACGATTTCCCGGAGGGAAGTAATAACGTCCGCGGATCCGTGCGACAGCTTCTCGTACGTCCCACTCGCATACACGTGTCCTTTCCTCGTCGTAAGGAAAAGGTCGCGTCGACACGGGAGATACGGGACGCTGACGCCCGATCGAAGGGCGTTGGTCAGTCCACATGTCAATCAATTGCAAAGATCCCGAGACGTCATCAA